AATTGGGGGCACTTTGGGACGCTCCGGACGAAAACGGTATCGGGTTTTTTAATCGGTAGCGGGGCAAAAATTTTGCGATTAAAAGTAATCGTATGCGTAAAAATCGCATGCGATGCCATCGTTATGCGGGGGTCCACTGTACATATAAAATATGCAATAATTTTAAAAACACTTGAAATTTTGGAAAGTTTGCAGACATAATAGTTTGTGCTCATGGAAACGTATAACAAAATGGGTGGGGGTGCACTGTATTTGAAAGACCGCTTGCTGAAATAGCAAATTTTGGTCTTAATTTGAAATCGCCATATTAGCGAAACACCATAAGGCGACACGTTGTTATGCATGGCCCTACTGTATTGGGTAGGCAGGCAGCTGGGAGGGTATTGAAGAGGCATGCAGGTACTCGTGTGTGTGCATGTGCCTGTGTACAGTATGTATGTATAACTGCTGGTGTTCTTAACCCCTTAACTGTCCAAATGTAAATCTATGTTCTCTTGCCCAGCACTCCGAATATTTCAGAAAAAAAAAATAAATATGTAATGACAAAAAAAATTTTTAGAGTCAGAAACTTATGGAGATATAAGGACATGAAGTCAGCGCCTGTCACTCACCTGACGACAACATGAAGCGCTGCCGCTTGCAGACATGTTCCCAAATGCATCTTTTTTTCATTTTTTTTTATTTTCTCAGTTTTTAGGGTATGATAAATATGTTTTAGAGTAGATCTTTTGATCTGATAGCCAAATGCTGTTTAGACAAATATTATGTACAAAATTATTAATCATATTGTCACAAACATACATGTACACACTTATAGGTGATACTGTACACCTGGCTGAATCACATTCTATTACTACAACTATATACAAGGTATTTACATGTCCCAGTTATGTTTCTAGAACTCCAGAATTGTATGATACTCCATGAAACATGGATTCATACAGAGTCCCCACCCCCACTGCTGACACATGAAACGTGTGTCCTTCTGCTGTTGGGGTCGCCTTGAGGTGTTAGCACACACAACGCACTTTTTCTGAGAATGCTTCTTTTTTGGGGTAGACGGTACTGGTATCAGGTAGTGACAGTTAGCGAGGATTCGGTCTGGCACTTCTCCCATTGGTTATGGTTGGGGGGACAGGTCGCCATTGAGGGGCAGGTACAGGTGTGGTACCATACTTTTTTGCTATCTGCTTGATGACATTCAGGGTGAATTCTTCATAACAAAGCTGTTATCCAGTCTTTATTTCATACATATTGAAAGCATTGAGCATTGCAATGTCTACAAGGTGAAAAAACACTTTTATGTACCACTTGTGACTCCTATGCACACAGTCAATAAACCCTATCATCATGTCGCACTTGTTGACTAGTCGCATATTGTTCGTATAGTCGATGACAGCAGCTGGCTTTACAATGCGTTCATTGGTGTCCCTGTTCACTTTGCCTGTTTGTACCATTTCGTTTTCTGTGGATGGTTGACAGCAATGTCACGTCCCGTTTGTCATGCCACGTCAGTGCCATGATGTCATTGGCATGAAACACTTGCACTGCACCTTCAACACTGCCTCCACTGAACCTTGGCATATGTTTTCTATTTCTTCTCACTTTTCCACATATATCAGTTTTGTTCACACGTAGGAAATCAGCGAACATAGGGCTTGTATACCAGTTGTCTGTGAACAAGGTATGAACCTTGCCAAGGTATGGCCCCATCCTCTTGCGAACAACATCACCAGAAATGCCCAACACCCGCCTGTCGTTGAGTGTGTTTCTCCTGGTGTAGACAATGACATCCAACACTATGCCACTCTCACAGTCACACATAACAAACAGTTTTATACCAAAGCGATTACGTTTGCTCAGTATGTATTGTTTGAATGACAGTCGTCCCTTGAACAGAATCAAGGACTCGTCAACAACAATGTTCTTGAATGGATAAAAGTAGGCATTGAATTTCTGCTTCAGATACATAAACACTTCCCGGATTTTGTATAGAAGGTCATTTTTGTTGGGCCTATTCCTGTCTGAGAAGTGCAACATTTGTAGCAACAGAGTGAATCTGTTGCAGGGAAGGAGGTCACGGAAGACAGGAGTACTGATAAAGTAGTCTGTGGACCAGTATTCTGCTATATTGTGCTTATATGTATGAGGCATAAGCATGACAGTGCCAAGGAATAAATACATTTCGGCTACAGTTGTATCTTTCCATCTGCGCAGCCGTGATGATTCTGCAACTTCTGTGTTATCCATTATATAGCAGTAGTAATTGTTTGTCTGGGTGACAATCAAGTTCATTATTGGCTTGTCAAAGTATAATTGGAAAAAGTCTAACTCTGTAGACTCGTTTGTGATGGGACATTTTGCCCGGATGCCACTTCCACTGGCATCAAAATCGAAAGGATGTGGCACGAATGTTGTACTTTGTGTCCAGTTCCATTCACAGTCAGATGGTGCATGGTGGACCCGTGGCATGGGGCATGGGGGAGCAGGAAGAGGGATGGGAGTGGAGGCAGCACATGGTTGATGGGGTGGCGGGCAGTCCTTTATCTGCCCATCCACTGCGCGATGCGGCCCAGGCACCATGCCACCCCCCACCACCACCACCACCACCACCTCCTCCTCTTCCATCCCGGCATATTCTCCTTCATGATCACTATCACTATCAGTGGCTGGGGTTGTCGATCGTGACCTCCCACGATCCTTGGGAATTGCATGTGGTACACTGCCTGAATGTAGGTGCCGCCGCCTAAAGGTATGCTTCACTGGGGAATAATGTAAATCACTATCACTTGATGAATCCTCTAAGCCCTAAGGGCATAAAATCAATCTTATCATCACTTATATCACTTTCACTCTCTTCTTCACCAAAAATGACAGAAAATGATAATTTCCTCTTGCGTAGTAGCCTCTGAGTTGTAACACTGGCCACCCCAGAGGTGCTTGGCCGAGGGTCTGGTGTGGCCATACTGACCACCCCAGAGGTACTTGGCTGCGGGTCTGGCATGGCCCCACTTGCCACCTCAGAGGCGATGGGCTGAAGGCCATCTGGGTTATCGTCAATATTTTCACTAATTCCTTGATCATTAGTGGTCACACCAGTCTCAAGTCCACTAAATTCATGTTCTATATCACTTTCCTTGAGTAAGAGTGTGTTAACACGACGAGGCATTAGTGAATCACGAGGGTTTGCCATGATGTTGACCCAAGATGGAGCTGAAACTAACTGATGCTACCATGCAGTACCTCAGGGTCCCTGATTTTTTCATACGGCACACACTGAGTGAACAGACCCCTTCTCTCATGTCAAGGCCGCTCAGGCCTATCGCATCAAATCTGGAGGCAGGAAAAATAAAACTTTGATCTATGTTCAGAGTGCTAGTGGTAACAAAGTAGATCTATGTTTGGACAGTTAAAGGGTTAATATAAGTAAATGACCTACCAGCATGGAATGTCTTGTGTATCACTGTTTGCAGCTGATATAAACTAATTAGAAGAATAAGAACAGGAGAAGACAGTGATAAATTTCAGGAAGACCTCAGCAGACTACAGATGTGATCAAACAAGTGGCTTCCTGAAGTCAACCCAAATAAATGTAAAGGTTAACAAACCTCAGAACAGCATTCAGGAACTTGAACAAAGATGCCTTCAATTTTTTTTTAACAACATGTGTTAGGCCAATCAATGAGTACACAGCCCTAGTATGGTGGAGAGGAGGACAAGGAAAAGCATGATTATGATGTACAAAATCTTAAGAGGAATTAATAGGGCAGATAGGGATGGACTGTTTGGATTATGAGGACCAGGATCAAGGAGATGGCGGTGGAAGCTGAAGACACAGATGAGCCAAAGGTATATAAGAAAATATTTCCTCAGTCTCAGGGTGGCTGAGAAGTGGAATAATTTGGATTAGGCAGTGGTGAAGGCAAACTTTATACACAACTTCAAAAGTAGATATGATAAACCCCAAAAGACCAGAAGTCGATGCTACTAATCAGAGTAGTCTAGAAGGCAGGGCAAGGAGCCGAGTCTTGACCCTGGCAAATATAAACAGATTAGAAATTGGTGGCAGAAAAATGAAACAATGGCAACAATGTATTTCAGCCTGTTAGAGCTCCTCTCCAACTGATCTGAATTTGGCCTGTACATATTTAACTTCTGTTCATTTTTCTGTCCAGGTGGTTTCTCATTTTTCATCAAACAGTGCTTATGACACGTAATCCAAGAATACAGGTACCATCTGACTTATGACCGAGTTTGGTTCCGACAAGCTGGTTTTAAGTCGAAATGGACGTAAGTCAAACCTTACTACCGAATATCGACATAACATTTTTGTAATGACTTTATTTTATTGTTTTATTTTGGTATTTCATTTTTTTGCTTTACTTTTTATACTGTTAGTACTGTATTTTATACTGTAAGGTTTAGGATAAACACTGTATACAACACAAACAGTTGTTTATTTCCCAGAAATTTGGCATAAAAAACACGGTCGTAAGTCAAATGGACGTATGTCGAGCAGGTCGTTTCTATGATTAGGTTGTTAAGCAAGTTGGTCGATAAGCAAGGAGCCATCTCTTACCAATATTTCAAGCATAGTGTACTGGTAGTGGGTTTGTGTCAACTATCTTTATGTTACCACTGCACCATATAGTATAACATATTTAGTATACAGTGGAACCTCTACTTATAAGTGCATCCACGTGCTAGTTTTTCCAGATATGAGCAGCTGCTCGGTCGATTTTTTGCTTCCAGAAGTGAGCAAAATTTCCAGATGCGAGCAGGCCTCAAGGGAGGTTCATTGACAGTGGTGAGGGGGCTCTTGCTCTTGATCTAGGGAATTGGATTTCAGTTGTTTGTTGGACTATTTTATTGAAATTTGGGCAATGTGTGATGAAAAGATGTTTCTTAACGTACACCAAAAATTAAAGAAATTGGACCATAAATAACGGAGTTCACTTCTCAGCCATTAGCCTCCCCTTAGCGGTATATTTTCATATGGTTTTTCTGGTTGTATTCTCGTTTTATTTGGTCTCATGTGGTAGGATGGAAGATATACTACAAAAATAAATATGATTTTAATTAGTTTCATGATGAAAAGTACCTTGAAATTGAGCTCAAAATAGCAGAAATGTTCAATTCTTTGGCGACATCAGTGGCAGACATCATGAGGTAGCAGTGACAGACAACATGAAGCAGCAGTGGCAGACAACATGAAGCAACAGTGGCAGATATCATGAGGTAGCAGTGGCAGACAACATGAAGTAGCAGTGGCAAACAACATGAAGCAGCAGTGGCAGACAATATGAGGTAGCAGTGGCAGACAACATGAAGCAGCAGTGACAGACAACATGAAGCAGCAGTGGCAGATAACATGAAGCAGCGGTGGCAGACATCATGAGGTAGCTGTGGCAGACAACATGAAGCAGCAGTGGCAAAGTGTAGCAATTAAGTGTAGCATTACGAGTGTAGCCCTTATAAGTCACTCTGACTTTTTTGGGTTATCCTAGGTTCTCTACACATGTAGTCAGGAGCAGGAATGGCCGCTGTGGTGGCCCTATAAACCCCAACAACAATGGCTGCTGTCACCACCACTAGCCACATACCTAATGACATGTATTTTATTCATTCTAGTGTATATATCATTTTTCTATGTTATTAACCCTTTCAGGGTCCGTCCCGTAGATCTACGGCTTCATGTTGAGTGTCCAAACCGCAGATCTACACCAAAATTCTAGCGCCGTCAAATTTAGCGCAAAAGCGCTCATAGGCCTACATGTGAGAGAACGGGTCTGCATGATGGGTGTCCGCCATAAACAAAAAAATCTAGGCGCCCGCATAGCATTGTGGGAACGCCAGCTCAGTTACCCTTGTTCACCATGCCTCGTCGCAAGTCAGCTCTCACTCCCCGGAAAATTGGGACTCTCCTCTTCCTATCTGATAGTTCTGACACTGATGGAAGTGGAAATGAAGACGAATTCTATGGCTCTGATCAGTTAGTGACCGAAAGGAATGACCAGGATATCGATAATAGTGCAGAAAACCCTGACGATCCTCAACCTTCTACCTCTGGTGTGGGCACTCGTGACTCACGGTCGGTTGTGCCTCAACGCAAGAGAAAACTAATATTTTCGCGTGGCCAGGCCTCTGACTTCAGTAATGATGATGATAGTGACGTGGATTGTGATTTTATTGCGCTTGACGATCATGCGAGTAGTGATAGTGAGGAATCATATTCACGAGTGAAGCGTCGGTATGTTCGCCGCCACATGCGCTCAGGTAGTGTACCCTATGCTGTGCTCAGGGGACGGAGTACATCCCGGAGTACATCCTGTGGCCCTACACCAGGTTTAGATAGTGATAGTGAGGATGATGTGGCTACACTTGGCATGGATAGACCACAGGCATCAGTAGATGGTGGTAGTGGTGATCGTAGTGGCACCGCCATGCGTGACTCACCAGCCCAGGCTGAGACCCACGCTGCTGACTTGTCAGTTCAAGGACAAAGCGGAGCATCAGCCACCAGCCCACCACAACCACCTGCACAACCAGCCTATGATGTCCAGTATCCACCAGCAAACCATATCTGGGATTGGCAGCAAAATCCCAATTTTGTTCCCAAGCCCCACCACTTTGATGACTCTCAAAGTGGAATTCTACCTACTTGTCCCCTTGGAACCACGGCCAATGAACTGGAATTCTTTGAATTATTCTTTGACCAGCCACTGATGGAAACTATTGTCAGGGAAAGTAATAAGTATTTTGAGTACACCATGGCAAATATGATCATATCACCACAGTCAAGACTACACAGGTGGAAAGAGACGACTGTTGCAGAAATGTATTTGCTTTTTGCAACAATAATGCTTATGCCGCATGTCTATAAGCATAATATAAAAGCATACTGGTCCACAGATCGGCTAATTTCTACCCCGGTCTTCAGTGAAATCATCCCAGTGAACAGGTTTATCTTGCTGTTAAGTATGTTGCACTTCTCTGACAAAACCAGGCCTGACAGAAGTGACAGGTTATACAAGATTAGAAATGTTTTCATGTATCTCAAACAAAAGTTCAGCATATTACTTTTATCCATTCAGAATCTTGTAATTGACGAGTCTTTGATTTTGTTCAAAGGTAGACTGTCATTCAAGCAGTATATACCGAGCAAGAGGAAACGCTTTGGTATAAAACTGTTTGTACTCTGTGACTATGACAGTGGCCTGGTGTTGGATATTGTTGTATACACGGGAAGTAAAACATTGAAGGATACCAAGATGTTATTGGGTATCTCAGGTGACGTAGTGAGAAACATGATGGCACCTTATCTTGGTAAGGGGCATACATTATATACCGATAACTGGTACACAAGCCCATTACTCAGTGATTTCATGCGAGTGAACAAGACAGATGTGTGTGGCAGAGTGCGTTCTAATCATAAACATATGCCCAGGCTCAACGCAGGTGCTCGTGGTGATGACGTGCAGGTGTTTACTGCCAATGACATCATGGCATTATGGTAGCATGACAAACGAGATGTCACATTGTTGACAACCATTCACCGTAATGAAATGCAAGACAGTGGCCAAAGTTGAATCGAGTGACTAATGAACGTATTCGAAAACCAGTGACAGTGATTGATTATACACAAAACATGCGCTTGGTTGACAAATGTGACATGCAGATTGGTTTTGTTGATTGTGTTCGTAAGAGTTACAAGTGGTACATGAAACTTTTCTTCCATCTCATGGACATTTCAATGCTCAATTCATATAATATGTACCAAATAAAGGCTGGCAACAGACCACCGTATGGTGAATTTTGTTTTTCTGTTGTCAGACAACTCATAATGAAGTACCAGGTAAGAACACCTGCTATACAACAAGGTCCTCGAATTCCTCAGGATATACCCAAGCGTTTGAGGAGGGAAGGTGATCATTTCATAATACAGCTTCCTTCAACTCAGAAGAAATTTGCTCATAAGAGATGCATCGTCTGTGCACAAACAAAACGACGGCAACAAAGACGCAAAGACACTCGGTTTGTGTGTAAGGAATGTAAGGTGCCTCTGTGCATGGTGCCTTGTTTCAAGGAATTCCACAAGCTCCAGCAGCTCTAAAACCATGTCCAGTGATTGTAAATATGTAAATATATGATAGAACATTAGTATTATACAAGATTTGTGCATGTTTATTGTAATAAACAACAGTGGTAAACAATAATATGATAATAACTTTAGTGTGGTTATTGTGTTCAATACAGTGAGTTTATATATATACATTATATACAGTATTGGTCTCTCAGGCCCCAAACGTTAGTAGGAAGAGAAAAAATTGGAA